TGCCTGTAATTCCAGCTATTTAGGTGGCTGAGGCAGGAGAATTGCTTGAACCCAGGAGGCGGAGGTTGCGGTGAGCCGAGATCGCGCCATTGCACTCCAGCCTGGGTAACAAGAGTGAAACTCCGTCTCAAAAAAAATAAAATAAAAAATAAAAAAATAATAAATTTATTTATTTTGTAGAGACAGGGTCTCGCTATGGTGCCCAGGCTGGACTCCTACCCTCAAGCAATCCTTTCACCTCCCTCTAGATTTACCTAGCCAGGCATGGTGGCTCGTGCTGGGATTAGGTATGAGCCACCATGCCTGGCTAGGTAAATCTTTTCGGTCCGTTTTTGCCACAGCCAGTGAATGGCAGGGCCAAGAGACAAGTAAACAGGCCTGCAGTCCAGTGTCAACTGGTGCTATGATGGGGGAAGATAGGCCCTTCTCAGAAGGGATGTTTAGGTTGGGTCTTGAAGGTAAGAAAGTTGGGGTTGGGGAAGTATGGAGGCTCTTCTCAGAGGTGATGTTTTAAGTTCGGGCTTGAAGGTGGAGTTCTGGTTGGGGAAATGTGGAGAGAGCCCCTAAAGCTGCATTCCAGGGTCCTTAGAGCTTGCAGATGTTCCCTGGGGTAGAATGGGGGTGGGGGACAAAAAGCAAGAGGATTTTGGAAGTGAGGTTAAAGGACCTAAGGTAGCAAAGCCAGGACAGTGTCACTAAGATGGGGGTGCAGGGTGAAGAGCAAGACAGGAGCTGAAGTGGGGGCAATTGTTACACCCGTCTGGACATGCTGAACATTAGGTCAGCATGAGAAAGGTGATTGGCAATAACAGAGATTATCAGGTCTGGAGTCCATGACACCATGTCCAGAAGAAAGCACACAAGAAGTCTTGAAAGTGGCCGGTGCCGGGCGTGGTGGCTCATACCTGCAATCCCAGCACTTTGGGAGACCCAGGTGGGTGGATCACCTGAGGTCAGGAGCTCCAGACCAGCCTAGTCAACATGGCGAAACCCTTGCTCTCTATTAAAAATACAAAAAAGCCGGGCGTGGTGGCTCAAGCCTGTAATCCCAGCACTTTGGGAGGCCGAGGCGGGTGGATCATGAGGTCAAGAGATCGAGACCATCCTGGTCAACATGGTGAAACCCCGTCTCTACCAAAAATACAGAAAATCAGCTGGGCGTGGTGGCGCGTGCCTGTAATCCCAGCTACTCGGGAGGCTGAGGCAGGAGAATTGCCTGAGCCCAGGAGGCGGAGGTTGCGGTGGGCCGAGATCGTGCCATTGCACTCCAGCCTGGGTAACGAGCGAAACTCCATCTCAAAAAAAAAAAAAACAAAAAAAATAAAAAACAAAAAAAATTAGCCGGTGTGCTGGCACACGCCTGTAATCCCAGCTACTCAGGAGGCTGAGGCAGGAGAATTGCTTGAACCAGGAGACAGAGGTTGCAGTGAGCAGAGACCGGCCCAGTGCACTCCAGCCTCGGCGATAGTGAGACTCTGTCTCAAAAAAAAAAAAAAAAAAAAAAAAAAAAAAAAAAAAAAAAGCAGGCACGGTAGCTCACTTGGTAATCTTGGCACTTTGGGAGGCTGAGGCAGGAAGATCGCCTGAGGCCAGGAGTTCAAGACCAACCTGGGCAACATGGTGAGACCTCCATCTCCACTAAAAATAAGGAAAAATAGCCAGAGGTAGGAAGAAAATCAGGTAAGCATCTGATCTGGGAAATCTAGAGGAAGGTGTTTCAGGGAGAGGGGAGGGTCAGCTGCTGCTCTGATGCCCGCTGCATTTGTAATGAGGGTGGGAATGAGTGGTGAGAATCATTTTAGTGGAGGGGAATCGTGAAAGCCAGCCAGGAGGCAAGGTTGTAAATGGGACAGTCGGGAAGCAGAGTCGGGGAGTATAGACAACCCTCTGAAGAGGCTGCTAGAGGTTTGATGGTTTCGCTTTTGTCAACAGGGAAGGAACTCATATGTCCTTTCTGCACGGGTAGGAAGGGCTAATGAAGAGAAGCTGATCATACAGAAGGGAAACCAGACACCCAATCAAGGAAAGGAAGGAAATCAGGGCTTCATAAGGATGCTGGTCCCATTATCACTGGAGAGCCAGAGGAAAGGCAGGTTTGGGCACATAATCTGAAGCGTTGTTTTACCCGGGATATAAGAATGGGAGTCACTAGCTAAGAAATATAAGACAGCAAGGCCAGGAAAGGAGAATGCCTCAGTTTACTAACGTGGAGACTGGTTCACAGAGGCAGCAAGTCAGCAACCATTGTAGATTCGGAGAATATAGATGTCCCTTGGTATACACAGGGGACCCCACCCCCACCATATACCCAAATCCACATACTAAACCCCCAGTCAGCCCTGCAGAATCCACATATAGGAAAAGCTGGTCCTCCACATATATGGGTTTTGCATCCCACAAATACTGTATTATAGATCCATGTTTGGTTGAAAAAAATTCAGCCAACCAAATGTGGACTCACGCAGCTCAAACCCATGTTGTTCAAGGCTCAACTATAGTTTAAAGGTCCTTTTCCCAGCATTAGCCTACCCTGTGATGGAGGCAGCCAGAGATATCTCAGGAAAAAGTGATGTGCCCAAAGTCACACAACAGGCAAATCTATATATATATAATTCTTTTTTTTTGAGGCAGAGTCTCACTCTGTTGCCCAGGCTGGAGTGCAGTAGCTTAATCTCAGCTCACTGCAACCTCTGCCTCCCGGGTTCAAACAATTCTTCCTGCCTCAGCCTCCCAAGTAGCTGGGATTACAGGTCTCTGCTAACATGCCCAGCTATTTTTTATATTTTTTAGTAGAGACGGGGTTTCACCACGTTGGCCAGGCTGGTCTTGAACTCCTGACCTCAGGTGATCCGTCCGCCTCGGCCTCCCAAAGTACTGGGATTACAGGTGTGAGACACCGTGCCCTGAAACACTATCATTTTTTTTTTTTTTTTTTTTTTGAGACGGAGTTTTGCTCGTTACCCAGGCTGGAGTGCAATGGCGCAATCTCAGCTCACTGCAACCTCCGCCTCCTGGGTTCAGGCAATTCTCCTGCCTCAGCCTCCTGAGTAGCTGGGATTACAGGCACGCGCCACCATGCCCAGCTGATTTTTTGTATTTTTAGTAGAGACGGGGTTTCACCATGTTGACCAGGATGGTCTCGATCTCTTGACCTCGTGATCCGCCCACCTCGGCCTCCCAAAGTGCTGGGATTACAGGCGTGAGCCACCGTGCCCGGCCCTCATTTGTTTTTTTGAGACAGGGTCTCATGATATTGCCCAGGCTGGAGTGCAGGGCATTATCTCAACTCATTGTAACCTCCACCTCCTGGGTTCAAGTGATCTTCCTGTCTCAGCATCCCTAGTAGCTGCGATTATAGGCCTGTGCCACCATGCCTGGCTAATTTTTGTATTTTTAGTAGAGACGGGTTTTAACCATGTTGGCTGGGTTGGTCTTGAACTTCTGACATCAGGTGATCCACCATGCCCAGCCCTCAACACTAACTTTAGGTGGAGAGGAAAAACAATAAATTGGCCTTGGTGCAGCAGGGTGGGTAGCCTTTACTTTTACCAAGGAGGAAGCCCTATTTCTCCCCAAATCAGAGACCTGACCCTGATTTCCTGCTCTAGGCCCCTGATAGTTGAGAATAAAAAGCAAACAAGGCCGGGTGTGGTGGCTCATGCCTGTAACCCAGGCACTTTAGGCGGCCAAGGCAGGCGGATCACGAAGTCAGGAGTTCGAGACCAGCCTGGCCAACAGAGTGAAACACTCTCTAATAAAATCACAAAAATTACTTGGGTATGGTGGCACATACCTGTAGTCCCAGCTACTCAGGAGGCTTGAGGCTTGAGACTGGAACTTAGGAGGCAGAGGTTGCAGTGAGCCGAGATCATGCCACTGCACTCCGGCCTGGGTGACAGTGAGACTCAGTCTCAAAAATATATATATAAAATAAAAAGGTAAACTAGCCAGGTTCAGTGGCTCATGCCTGTAATCCTAGCACTTTGGGAGGCCGAGGCGGCGGATCACCTGAGGTCAGGAGTTCAAGACCATCCTGGCCAACAATGGTGAAACCCCACCTCTAATAAAAATACAAAAATTAGCCGAGTGTGATGGCGGGTGCCTGTAATCCCAGCTACTCAGGAGGCTGTGTCATGAGAATCACTTGAACCTGGGAGGCAGAGGTTGCAGTCAGCCAAGATTGTGCTGCTGCACTTCAGCCTGGCCTACAAGAGTGGGACTCTGTCTCAAAAGTAAATAAATAAATAACAACAATAAATAAAATAAAGAATTTTAAAAAGGCAAATAGGTAATAACAATGACCACAAACTTACCAAGTATAGTTTACCACGTGCCAGGCCTGCCCTGAGCACTCATAACTCACTGAAACCTCACAACCCTATTGGGCAGGCACTATTTATTTTACAGACAAAGAAGCTGAAGTGCAGAAAGATTAAGTAATTTGAGTAATGTCATCCAGCTTGCAAGTGTCAAAGATGGCATTTGAACCCAGACAGCCTGGCTCCAGCATCTGGACTCTTACAGTCTCCAATCTCTAAAAGGAGAGGAAGGAACTTATATGACATCCTACTGGGAATTTTCTAGAAACCAGATCTTTCTGCCCTACAGGCAGAAGGTACAATAGGGAAACGAGAATGGGGCTCAGAGGCATCCCTGGTCCCCTCACCATCACCTGCTGAGACAGAGAGCCTCCCTTGGCCATCCAGGAAGAATCTAGAAGTTATGACTCAAAACCATTTTACCGGCCAGGCGCGGTGGCTCAAGCCTGTAATCCCAGCACTTTGGGAGGCCGAGGCGGGTGGATCACGAGGTCCAGAGATCGAGACCATCCTGGTCAACATGGTGAAACCCCGTCTCTACTAAAAATACAAAAAATTAGCTGGGCATGTTGGCGCGTGCCTGTAATCCCAGCTACTCAAGAGGCTGAGGCAGGAGAATTGCTTGAACCCAGGAGGCGGAGGTTGCGGTGAGCCGAGATCGCGCCATCGCACTCCAGCCTGGGTAATAAGAGCGAAACTCCGTCTCAAAAAAAAAAAAACCACTTTACTGGGAGAGCAAACATCAGGAGGCAACCTTCTAGAGGCTGCTGAGCTTCAGACCTCAGGAAGTGGAGGCTTCAGGCCCATGATCTATTCGGAAAAGACTAGAAAAAGGCTCCAGGGCCAAGCCACCCTATGTTCCTCAGACACCACCCTGAGTTGAAGTCCTATGGCCATCTTTCTAGGTTGAGGCCTGGCCCGTGGAGTCACAGGGAAGGTCCGCGGGCGCCATAGCCTGGTCTTCAGAGATGGTCCCGTGGGGCAATTCTGTATACTTGCGGGAAGAGCTGCGGGCCAGATGGACTGGGTAGCGTCGCCGGTTGATGTCCATTTTGGAGAGCACTGCTTGGGGCAGATCCACATGGCAGCGGGCTGCTAATGCCACCAGGTAGATGAGGACGTCACTAAGCTCCTCTTGAAGGGCAGCCCGTTCCCTGGAGGACCAGCCTTGGGGGCCAGGCTCCCCATCGGTTTTCCACTGACTAGGGGCAGAACACAGACACACACTCAGATGTAACCTGGGGCTATGGGCTTTGCCAGTCCTTGCAATAACAACACCCACCTCCAAGGACGACCCAACCCATTTGGGCCCTGGGAAGAGTCAGGTGGGGAAGAGACCCCAACAGATGATACCACGATGTCTGTGTCTCTTTGTGGGCCAAGGTGTGGCCAAATGAACATTTCATTTGTTAAGACAAAGCTTTGAGACAATTCTAATTCTCCCCAGCCCTAGCCATCACCACCCCAGACCAAACCTCAGACCAGGACCGCTGCAGAAGCCTCCCCACTCATCTCCCTGCTAACTCATCTTCTACTCCCACCCAAACCATCTTTTTTTTTTTTTTTTGAGATGGAGTCTTGCCCTGTTGCCCAGGCTGGAGAAGAGTGCAATGGTGTAATCTCACCTCACTGTAACCTCCACTTCCTGGGTTCAAGCAATTCTTCTGCCTCAATTCTCCCTTCCACAGTAGCTGGGATTACAGGCATGTGGCACCACACCCAGCTAATTTTTGTATTTTTAGTAGAGACGGGGTTTTGCCATGTTGGCCAAGCTGGTCTTGAACTCCTAACCTCAGGTCATCTGCTTGCCTCAGCCTCCCAAAGTACTGGGATTACAGATGTGAGCCAAGGCACCCGGCACAGACCATCTTTTTTTTTTTTTTTTTTAACTTTTATTCTTTTACTCTAGAGTGTTCAGCAGGACCAGACCATCTTTTAAAAGCACAAATTAGGCCAAGCATGGTAGCTCACGCCTGTGATCCCAGCACTTTGGGAGGCTGAGTTGGGTGAATCACAAGGTCAGGTGTTCAAGACCAGCCTGGCCGAGATGGTGAAACCCCATCTCTACTAAAAATACAAAAAACTTAGCTGAGTGTGGTGGCAGGCGCCTGTAATCCCAGCTACTTGGAAGGCTGAGGCACAGAACTGCTTGAACCTGGGAGGCGGAGGTGGCAGTGAGCCGAGATTGCGCCACTGTACTCCAGCCTGGGTGACAGAGACTCCATCTCAAAAAAGCAAAAGCACAAATTACACTTTGCTCCTTCCCTGCTAAAATCCAAACTGTGCTTGGCATACAATCTAAACTCCTGACCAAGCCCTCCTGTCCTTCATGGGCTGCCCCTGCCTTTTCCAAGGCCATTGCCCACCACTGTTTCTCTTACTCCCTACCCAAGGCCACTCTAGCTTGTTCCGCCTTGCACATAAGCCAGACTGTCATAGGGCCTTTGCACTCACAGCTTCCTCTGCCTTGAATGCTTCCCGCTCCCCCATCAGTCCCAGGGCTAGGTCCTTCCTGTTATTCAGGTCTCAGCCTAGATGTCATCACCTGGTTCATCACCTTGTGGTTTTTGGGTATTTTTTTGAGATGAAATTTTTTTGAGTGCAGTGTTGCAATCTCGGCTCACTGGAACCTCTGAGCCATGATGGCTCCACTGCACTCCAGCCTAGCAACAGAGCAAGATTCCCTCTTAAAAAAAAAAAAAGGCCGGGCGCGGTGGCTCACCGCACTTGTAATCTCAGCACTTTGGGAGGCGGGCGGATCACCCGAGGTCAGGAGTTCAAGATCAGCCTGGCCGAACATGGTGAAATCACGTCTCTACTAAAAGTACAAAAATTAGCCAGGGGTGTTGGCAGGCGTCTGTAATCCCAGCTACCCAGGAGGCTGAGGCAGGAAAATTGCTTCAACCTGGGAGGCGGAGGTTGCACTGGGCTGAGATCGCGCCACTGCACTCCAACCTGGGCAACAAGAGTGAGACTCCATCTCAAAAACAAAATCTGTAATAAATAAATAACGTGCCCTCACACACATCTCAGTGTCCATTTTCCTTTATCCTCGGTGACTGTCCCGGTCTAGGCCTCATCACCTCTTGCCTGGTCTACAGCAGTCAACTCTCTGGTGCCCCCTGCCCATTCTCTCAGTGATCCATCACATCTACCCTATAGATACCTGGTCCAGTATCTACAGTATATCCAAGCTCTCCATCACGCGCTAGCCCTAATCCTATCGTTGTGGGTTCATCTCCCAGCCCTGTCCTCCACAGCCCTACCACTCATCCAACACATGTCTACTGAGTGCCTACAGTACGCTGGGCACTTGGTACACATCAGAGAAAACAGATCCCAAATCTCTAATTTTTCCCGACATGCTTACACTGAAGGAATGTCAGATTCTCCTTGAATTGAACTTGCCCTTTCTTGCCTCACTGTCTCTGCAAATGTATTTCCCATGTCTGGAATACCACAGAAAGGTCCTCTACAGAATACCTTCCTTTCAGCCCCAGAGGCAAAGGAAAAGGGTTGTTGGGCTGGGCTGTAATCCAACACTTTGGGAGGACAAGGCAGGTGGATCACCTGAGGTTAGGAACTTGAGACCAGCTTGACCAATATGGCAAAACCGTCTCCACTAAAAAAATACAACAACAACAACAAAGCCGGGTGTGGTGGCTCACACCTGTAATTCAGGCACTTTGGAGGCCAAGGCAGGCGGATCACCTAAGGTCGGGAGTTCAAGACCAGCCTGACCAACATGCTGAAACCCCGTCTTTAAAAAAAAAAAAAAACACAACAATTATCCAGTTGTGGTGGTGGGTGCCTACACTCCCAGCTACTTGGGAGGCTGAGGCAGGAAAATGGCTTGAACCCGGGAGGCGGATTTTGCAGTGAGCCGAGACTGCCCCACTGCACTCTAGCCTGGGCAACAGAGCGAGTCCCCCAAAAAAACAAGGAAAAGGGTTGTTGCCACTACTTGTTCCTAATAGAAAACGGGACCTGCCTGCTACTCTCACACCTTTCTCTTCCAAGAGGCTGGGCGCCCCTAGAGGGCAGGACCCCCGAGTTCTCTCTGCATCCTCGGCACCAGCAAAGAGCCTTGCAATGAGGAAGGGAAATTGAACCCATGAATGTCTGAAGACCAAATAAATGTTCCCCTCCCCTCTCCCACAACATAGACACATCCAGAAAGCTTTCCATCAACTCACAAGAGTTCTGCCAGCTCCCCCACTTCCCCGACCAAGGCCAGGAGGAGGTTCCGAGGCTGATGGAACTGTTCCCAGTCTCGTTCAGCAGCAAACTCAGCATGGAGGCGGCGGCTGAAATAGGAAAAAGGGATGTAAGCCCAAGTCTCAGGGTTAGAGGATGATGCAGGGGCCAGAGGCAGGTACCCCAGTGGTATGTAATGGGGGCCTGGGACTGGAACATTCTGAAATTAATTGATTGGATGGCCTTAGGCAGGTCGTGTCCACTTTCCGGAACTTGGTTGCCTCAACTACAAAATGGGGGCCCTTACATCTCGCCAAATCTAACAAACCCTCTTCATTTTTCCATCTCCTGCTGCTACTTCTGCAGTTTCCTCCACCTAGAAATGCTGCACATCAAAATCCAATCTCCCTTATAGAATGTAGTTCCACATGCACTTCCTCTAAGAAGACTTCCTTGACTTCCTCCAGCAAGAAATAAGGTCTCCCATCTCTCAGCACTTCGTTTGACCCTCTCGTACCCCCGGCGCCTGGAGACCAGAGGCGGTATCGGGTGCCAGTATCTTCCCAGGGCTAGGCTGAAGGGCGTTCCTAGTACCACTCGGGGACACCACCCAATCTCCCTTGCCTCAGGTGTGCACCGCTGCGCCCATTTTGCAGATGAAGTAAGAACGCTCGCCTGGGGACAGTCTGCAGAGCCAGGACCCGAGCCCCGCTGCCAGCCCGCTTCCCAACCACGCGGAGGAACCCTCCCCAAAACGCGGGAGAAAGGGACGACCCCCCCACCCCGAGTCGGGCCAGGCCTGCTTACATGTCCTCGAGCGTGGGCTCCGGGCTGAAGCTGAACCGACCCGCAGCAGTAGTGCCCTCTCCCCCCGTGTCCCCAGGAGTCTCCCCAGGAGTCTCCCCACCGGCCGCAGACATGCCGCCCACCCGCTGCAGCCGCGACAGCACCGAAAACCCACGCGCCACGCTCGAAGCCCCGCCTCCAGAGCTCCGACCAATCACGGAAGTTCTCTATTGGCTTAAGGGGTGGAGCCTGAGAAAAGAGACCAATGACTTCTTTGGAGTTTGCTACAGCCCGCCCCTTCCCTCCCTGGGCGAATCTAAGGGAGCTTCAAGCGCGCGCTTCTGGTCTCCCGCCCTGGAATTTTTCCGCTGGACCCTGCTTAAGGTCTTAAAGGTATAGGTACCAATTCGACCTGGGGAAGAGACGAACGGCAGAGGGCGGGGGGAGCTCAGGCGAGTCACTTCCTTTATGGACGCCAGAGGGCGCCAAAACGAATATGGCGGCGGACGAGGGTCCACCAGGTGGAAAACCCTATGTAAATGAAAGGCCCTTTGCATAGATATTAAATCTCTCAGGGCTTAAGGACGTTGAGAACGTTCTAGGCTGACCCCCACACTATTTGGATGAGATTGAAGAGAAAGAGTGGAGTAAGATCAGACCGGATTAGGACTCGAGTCTTGGGTCGCACTTCAGCTCCCCGCCCCCGCTGTGTCCTGTGGTTGAAACGATGGAGGTCGCTCCATCCCTGTCCTAAGGAAGGCAGTAGGCCCCAGCGCAGCACGCATTGCCCTAAATACGTGGCCCGTTTATGGTCTGGCCTGTGCCGGCCTCTCCAGCCTCATGGGTCCCTGGCACGACTCCTCCACCCCACACACCGGGGAACTCCAGGCTCACTCACACCAGAGAATACACTAGGTGGTGAGACACAGAGTTGCTGCTTTCAAATCAGAACCACTGAGTTATTGGCCATGGGAGGAGCAGAGATCTTTATGAAATTCTAGAATAGGTGTAGTCTTACAAAGAATGATTTATGATTGTCCCTTTATTAGGGCTACTATCTCTGATTTCCTGATGTTTAAAGAGGCATCCAGCTTGGTGGAAGTAAAAGAGTAAGAAAGTGGCCGGGCGCGGTGGCTCAAGCCTGTAATCCCAGCACTTTGGGAGGCCGAGGCGGGTGGATCACGAGGTCAAGAGATCGAGACCATCCTGGTCAACATGGTGAAACCCCATCTCTACTAAAAATACAAAAAATCAACTGGGCATGGTGGCGCGTGCCTGTAATCCCAGCTACTCAGGAGGCTGAGGCAGGAGAATTGCCTGAACCCAGGAGGCGGAGGTTGCGGTGAGCCGAGATCGCGCCATTGCACTCCAGCCTGGGTAACAAGAGCAAAACTCCGTCTTAAAAAAAAAAAAAAAAAAAAAAAGAGTAAGAAAGTTCAGGAAAAGGCAGAGTCAGGTTTTGGAAATTAAAATCCCAAGGCTGTGACAACTGCAATTCTAGGTATAAGCCCTAGATAAACTAATGAATATATGCAGAGAGACATATACGAGAAGTTCATTACAGTTTTGTTTGTAAGAGTCAAAAACAATTGAAAATAAAATGACTATCAATGGAAAAATGGGTACATGGTGTTATATTTATACAAATGATATTATTCAACAGTTAAATTGAATACCTGCAACAGAAACAAGTTTAAACTGGTTTTAGCAAGAAAAAGAAATCTATTATTTTAATTTTTTAAATAGGGTTTCGGCCGGGCGCGGTGGCTCAAGCCTGTAATCCCAGCACTTTGGGAGGCCGAGGCGGGTGGATCACGATGTCGAGAGATCGAGACCATCCTGGTCAACATGGTGAAACCCCGTCTCTACTAAAAACACAAAAAATTAGCTGGGCATGGTGGCGCTTGCCTGTAATCCCAGCTAGTCAGGAGACTGAGGCAGGAGAATTGCTTGAACCCAGGAGGCGGAGGTTGCGGTGAGCCGAGATCGCGCCATTGCACTCCAGCCTGGGTAACAAGAGCGAAACTCCGTCTCAAAAAAAAAAAAAATAAAAAAATAAAATAAAATAAAATAAAATAAAATAAAATAAAATAAATAGGGTTTCACCATGTTGTCCAGGCTGGTCTTGAGTGCCTGGAGGGTTGCTAGAGCAATCCTCCCACCTCGGCCTCCCGAAGTGCTGGGATTACAGGCATGAGCCACCTCCACGAGCCAAAAGGAATTTATGCTGTAACCGAGTGAGTGCGAAATCACTGAGACAAAGACTGGGCCAAATTACAGGGTCTTTATTGCCGGCGACCATGGAGGACTCGCGTCTCTCTAACCCGTGGCCCCGAAAGGAGGGTGTCAAGACCTTTTATGCCTGTAAACCACCTCCTGGGCAGGGGTGAGGGCGAGGGGTTTTGGACATTCCGAGGGCCAGGGGACCTTGGACATTCCGATTGTTACTTAAGTGGTTCACAGAAGTCAAGATAAGCATTAATTTACACATTGTCTGGGTAGGGTGGAAAATTACAGACCTTAGTCACTTATTACAAGTTTAAGTTTTTCTTACAATGGCGCAGAGTTTTTCTTAAAATGGCACAGGGGCCAAAATGGTGTTTGTTTGGACTGCTTGCCTGTCACATTAGGGTTACCGAGAGCAGTTTCAATGGAAAGCGGAGGTATGGTCGAGTAATGCAGTTTATGGGGCAATTTCTATGTCACATTTATTTTAAGGATACAAGAGTGTCTCCAGGATACAGCAGGACCTCAGGAATGACCTGGAACTAGAGTAGCTGTTTTAAGCATTTTACGTATTTAATCCTCACAGCAACTCATTTAATCCTCACAACGAGCTATATGGTAGGTTGTTGTGTACCGGCCCCAGCCCTGTACGTGAGTGCCCTTAGTTCCGGTGGTGACAAGAGATTGAGAAAAGGAAATAAAGACAGAGACATGGCTGGGTGAGGTGGCTCACGCTTGTAATCCCAGCACTTTGGGAGGCGGAGGCGGGTGAATCACCTAAGGTCCGCAGTTCGAGACCAACTTGGCCAACATGGTGAAACCCCGTCTCTTAAAAAAAAAAAAAATTAAAAAAAAAAAAGAGAAACACAAGAGTAGAATTTACAGCATGGGTCCAGGAGAACCACGTTAGCCTGGTCTCTGGGCTCCAAACACTTTTATTATGTGCATAATCTCATTGATATTATGGGCATAGAAGGGGTAGCTAAGATGGAGGGGAGAGCACTTGAGTTCCTTCTAAGACATGCTAAACTCGTGCTCTGAGCAGTTAACAGCACTTGAGATCCTTCTAAGACATGTTAAACTAGTACTCTGAGTTTATCACCAATTGTTATCTGGGTACGGCAGCATCAGAAGTATAGCGGATGAGGAGCCACCCAGTCTGACCACACGCAATGCATCAAGGGGCTTTTATCTCCCAAGCACTGAGGACCTAGAGCAATTAAAATCACTCCATATTCTGAGAACCTAGGCAGAGCCTGAGGAGTTCCATGATCTCTGCCTGCAAGGCTTTTCTCCTTGCCAGCTCCCATCTGCCAAGACCCTCCTGGATCTTGTGAGCAGAGGTCGCCACCTTTCTCAGAGATCTTTGCATAAGCCCTCTTTACGAGATCCTCATGCATCTCCATGTTGAGAAGGCATTCGTGGGACCAGAGCAGTATTCCCTGTTCTGCAACCACCCCTCGGTGTTCCCCGGTGTTACTGTGCTCTCCGATGGTCTTTACCTTAGGCCTCCTGTTACTGCTTAATTTCTAATTAACTGCACCAATAATATTGTTTAGTTCGGAGTGTAAACTTCAGTGTACTTTGCGCCAAGCAAGCTTTTACTTAGCTAGAATTAACATAGGTCTCCCCCTGGCCATCTTGACCCACAGTAGGTAATATTATTCTTTTTTTTTTTTTTTTTTTTTTTTTTGAGATGGAGTTTTGCTCTTGTCACCCAGGCTGGAGTGCAATGGCGCGATCTCGGCTCACCGCAACCTCCGCCTCCTGGGTTCAGGCAATTCTCCTGTCTCAGCCTCCTGAGTAGCTGGGATTATAGGCATGCACAACCATGCCCAGCTAACTTTTTGTATTTTTAGTAGAGACGGGGTTTCACCATGTTGATCAGGATGGTCTCGATCTCTGGACCTCGTGATCCACCCGCCTCGGCCTCCCATAGTGCTGGGATTACAGGCGTGAGCCACCACGCCCGGCCTTTTTTTTTTTTTTTTTTTTTTTGAGACGGAATCTCACTTTGTCACCCAGGCTGGAGTGCGATGGCTGGTTCTCGGCTCACTGCAACCTCCGCCTCCTGAGTTCAAGTGATTCTCCTGCCTCAGCCTCCACAGTAGCTGGGTCTACAGGTGCGTGCCAGCACGCCTGGCTCATCTTTTTTTTTTTTTTTAGTAGAGATGGGGTTTCACTGTGTTAGCCAGGATAGTCTCGATCTCCTGAACTTGTGATCCACCTGCCTCAGCCTCCCCTGGGATTACAGGCGTGAGCCACTGTGCCCAGCAGTAACGAAAATCTTTTTTTTTTTTTTGAGGCGGAGTTTCGCTCTTGTTACCCAGGCTGGAGTGCAATGGAGGCTCACTGCAATCTCCGCCTCCTGGGTTCAGGCAATTCTCCTGCCTCAGCCTCCTGAGTAGCTGAGATTACAGGCACGCGCCACCATGCCCAGCTAATTTTTTGTATTTTTTTTTTTTTTTTTGAGACGGAGTTTGGCTCTTGTTACCCAGGCTAGAGTGCAATGGCACGATCTAGGCTCACCGCAACCTCCGCCTCCCGGGTTCAAGCAATTCTCCTGCCTCAGCCTCCTGAGTAGCTGGGATTACAGGCATGCGCCACCATGCCCAGCTAATGTTTTGTATTTTTAGTAGAGACGGGGTTTCACCATGTTGACCAGGATGGTCTCGATCTCTGGACCTCGTGATCCACCTGCCTCGGCCTCCCATAGTGCTGGGATTACAGGCGTGAGCCACCGCGCCCGGCTAACTTTTTGTATTTTTAATAGAGACAGGGTTTCACCACCTTGACCAGGATGGTCTCGATCTCTTAACCTTGTGATCCACCCGCCTCAGCCTCCCAAAGTGCTGGGATTACAGGCGTGAGCCACCACGCCCGGCCCGTGGTACTGTAAATCTTAATGTGTTTGTGACAAGTACAGAAAAAGTGCTGACGCATTATGCCCCTCACCTCATGTCAGCTACAGAAAATTCCTGAGCCCCTACCTGCGTGAT